TGTTTAATACTAAAATCTAGACATACATGACACATCTTTTTCCTTTCCAAAGAAATTCTCAGAAAGGTTTTTTTCCCAAGAACAACTAATAAGCTCTCTGTGCGTTCAGGGACAATTAATCTATTTTCAGTATTTTCAGAAATACAGTTTTATTATATTTTACAGCAAATGATGTTTTCAAAACATGAATATGTCCCAACATAACTGGTAAATTAGGATCAATTTGAGCACAAAGCGAATTCATGTTTGCTTATATACAGTATCTGCAGGAAACACTAAGTGAACACAGAAAAGTGTACCCACCTGAACTGAAATGTGGGAATACACAAAACACACCCCCTCCAAATATATAACAGTTCACCAAATGTGTTATGCTACTTTCATCCACCCATCTACATCTAGTGTTATAACTGTCCGACATCAGATAATCCTCCTCCTACTACTTCACAACATTCTCATGTTTCAATCCTTCTGAAGGCCACTTCACATGTAAACTTCAGGTCTTTTTTTCAAGACAAAGTACCACATTTATTGCAACATTTATATAGTTCTTAATCATTTAGCATGTATAAAACTACGCTACATTTTTATTAGGTTCCTATCCCTTTTAATGTGTCACCAATGGAGTTTTTGAAGTGTTTACACCCCTAACCCCACTTTTCCCACAAACCCTGTAATTTTTATTGCTTGATTTTGCATAATGCTATGATTTTTAGGAATGCATATGTTACATTATAGCAGAGCTGGCATTAATAGCTAAATCCCCCAAATAACAAAAAAAAAAAAAATTCGTCAGGAGAATATAAGACGAGTAAGTTTATCATGATCCTTCCAGAATAAGTCAACCTTCGATTGTATTACCAGAGTCAACTGGAAACAATATTAGTTTTTTAGTTTCTTTTTTGAGCAGTTCTTAATTGCAAGGATGAGTATTTTATGACTTTTAGTCCTTCTTAGAAACTTCATGGGTCCACTCAATCCTCTTAAAAATCTAAGATATGTTATGGGATTTTCATGATTTTATTTCTCCTATATCTTGAAACATTCTGCTGTTTCATCATCCTAAGAACTATTTCATCATTACTCAATAATTATTACTAAGTATGCTAAAAATACTAATAAAAAAATACAAGAATGAAATTCCTATGGCGGGCTGACAAACTGTGGTATGCACACTAAATCCCATTCGCCACCTGTTTCTGTACATGAAGTTTTATTGGAACACAGCCTGCTCATTCCTTTATGTATTGTATTTTGTTCCTTTCAACTACAAAGGCAGAGTTTAGTAGTTGAGACAGAGATTGAATAGCCCACAAAAACTAAAATATTTACTGTCTGGCCCTTTACAGAAAAACTTTGCTAACCCCTGGCCCGGAGGATGACACAGTAGTGAAACAAATCATCTGTATTGCATCACTCTTTGATTTTTTTTTTTTTTTT